GAGAGAGAGAGAGAGAGAGAAGGTGGTGAATGTTTGAGACTATGGTGCCAACGAAGATGTGGCTGATAAAATTAATTTAAATAATTATGATTAGACAAAGTTTTAGATTAAAATAAATAGATGAGAATGAGAAAATTTATTAGGATATGATAGATTTATTTTATTATTTAAAAAATTTATACTTTATCTTTTAGCTAATATAAATATATGTTCTTGGATCAATCCAAAATACTATAGATTGGAATTACTCAAAGTTCCTTCTAAGAGGCAATAAGTATGGTATCACAGCATGATTTGAAGAAGATCAACATGAGTACATTGATTAAAACAAGAAAGGAAGACTAGTAGATCTAGAAAAAAAAAAATGACAAGCATCAAAGTAAGTGTTCAGAAACAAGATGGTAATTATTGGAGGAAGTGTTTCTAATCAAATTCTTCTCATATTCAAAAGTGATAATTATCAATTTTGTGTCATTAAGATGAAAACTCTATTTATTTCATAAGAATTATAAAATTTAGTAAAAGATAATTTTGTTAAGTATGATCTATAGGATCCTAATATTATTAAAGATTAAAAAGAATAAATGAATAAGAATATGTAGAAAGATGCAAGAACCCTCTATATACTACAATAAACAATAGATAAATCCTTATTTTCTTGAATCATGATAACATCAATATCAGCAAAAGCTTGAAAAATATTAAAAATGTGTGTTTAAGGGTATAGACAAGGTAAAAATTTTAAAGATTTAAATTTTTTGACATGAATTCAAAACTCTTATGATGAAAGATTCTGAATCTATTACTATTATTGATTGGGCAAGAGTATGTTAAGAATATGTTAAATAGTTTGGATTCGAAGAATTCTAATAGTTCTTCAAAAAAAATAAGATAGATCAACTAAAATCAACTACTATAACAAATCTAATATTAGAATGATAATGGAGAAATTCAAATGGACTATTGCATTTGACTTGCCAATATTTTTAAAAAAGTTTTGGCGAAAGATTTTTTTTTTTTTTCGAAGATAACTTCAAGTTATAACTATTTTGAATTAAAGGAGTATGATAAGATTAATTCAAATAGTTAGGATTAGATAAAATAAAAGATTAAAATTAAAATTAAAATAAATAGATGAGAGTGATAAGATTTATTAGAATATGATAGATATTTTTTTATTTAAAAAATTATACTTTTTCTTTTAGCTAATATAAATATGTGTTTTTGGAAGTACTATTACTTTCTTTTATTTATTTTTTCCTAAAATTCTCAAGGAAAGCTAACAGTAGCTTCTGATCTCATGGTGTTTACTCTAATTTTATCACCATCTCAAATTACCTTCAGTTCTTGTTGTGCGGTTCAGTAATAAGCATTGTACTTCTTATACTTTGTTGGCATTTGAGAAGGCGTGGAAGATAGCTTTCTCATCTTCTATTCCATCCGTTTTCTTGGTACTCAGTGGCAAGCGCGATCTCCTCAAGCATGTGACCTTGAAAGGCCCCTGCAAATGGAAACCCCATGGAATGTTCCCTTATCATCGCCGGAGTCAGCAGGGTTGCCGCCAGCAACGAGGGACGAATTGGTCGCGTCAGCTTGGAACTGGGTCCGGTTCTTCTCCCCCATGTAAACTACAAGAAGGGTTAAGCCCAAGAACGAACGAGAAGAAGAAAAGGAACAAGGCATATAATACCTTCCAAAGTTGGCCAAAGGGGAGTGTTGGTCCTGAATAAAGGATAAAAAAAAAGAGAGGATATATATTTTTATCTATCATAAAAAAGATAATAATCATCAATTCAATTCAATTTGGATCTTGCTTGTACTATAAAAAACTTTAATATATAAACCCTCTAACACTATATTACAATATTATAATGATCATAAGGAATTAATGATAGAAGATAAGATTTTCCTAACTATACGAGGAAATCTATTAAGAAAAATCCTCTATTCAGGGAAATCCTTCATCCTAATCTGTATAAATAGGAGATGGACATGTTAATGTATTTAAGCTTTATTGAAATCAAAGTAGTGAGGAAAATCCTTCATTATGTAAGGGAAATCCTTTAGGACATGTTAATGTATTTAAGCTTTTTCACTTCTTTAAAGCTTCTTCAATAATTGTTATTATCTTCTATTATTTTCATCAATTAGAATTTCCTATTGTGTTTAGGTATTTGTCCTAATTTTTAAATTAATATAAATACGACGATGATTTCATAATAAGTTAATATAAATTAATATAAGAAATTAAAGAGAGTGATGAATTAAAGTAATCTTAATTAAAAAAATAGGTGACAATATACCATGAATCTAACTTGGATCATTCGAAAGGGATGGTTCGCGTTCTAATTCATACATGGACCGACGAATTAAAAATATTCACACGCCGTTAAAGGCATATGAAATGTGAAGATTGAATTATTATTGTATTTTCCTATTGATATTTGGTCAATGTCAATGTCACTTGTTCATGGTGGAAACAGCAAAGTATGAAGCTAGTTTAATGAGCAATGTGACATGGGGGGTTTTCTACTGTGTGACGATGAGTAAGTGTCACAGATTGATAATTCTTGCTATCTATCTGCCTCAATGGTTGTGATGCCACTTGATGCATTATATATCTTGCATTGCACTCAGCATCATCAGAAGATTGTGCATGTTGTTCTACAGCAGTCTAAATTTGACTTGCAGGACTCACCGGAGGAAACTTGAAGTTGCCACCTGATGCAATCACCTGTCAGTCTATTTCCCCAATCCTGCTATCGAAGTCTGTGGAGATGGCTGAGACCTGAGATCGATAGGTTCATCTCGTAGAATTCTGTGTCTTGAATGTGTCTGAAAGATTGATTACACAGGAAGATGAGTGATCCATCTTTGTCCGAAATCTTTACGCACACAAACAAAGATGTTGCATTCATTAGTCCAATCATGATCGTAAAAGTGTAATTTTATCGAGCATTGTCCTTCAATGATGAGATCGTTTTACTATATAATTTAGATCATATCTACATCAAATCAATAATTTTTATCATTTTCTTTCCAGATATATGTTGCTTAGTTTTGTGCCCATTTTGTTAAATCATTACTACAATCGACTAATAATGTTTAATAATGATATTATAAAATAAAACAAAAAAAATGCAAATATAGCAAAAAAAGAGTTATAGTTGGAGTTGCATATGTATTTGACCTCTTGTGAATTTATTTTGGTTTCAAGACACTGTCATACCCAGTGTCACACGCTAGGTCAAAATCCGTACCAAATTGTTGCTTGGCACATCTCAGGAATCCCAAGACGACATCGCCCCTAAGATACGACAAGTCAGAATTCGTGCCAAGACACTGTTTGGCACGTCCACCACGTCAACTCGCATACGACCGACCCTCGGACAGTAGTATAAAGACCTATGGCCGGCATCCGGCCCAGGGGGAAAAAAAAAATTCACAAACAACTTATTTGCTCGTCGGAGGGGCCATAAGTCGGGAATTACCCGACGAAGGCCTTTTTTGCAGGTAGGCGATCACCCCGAGCCATGAGCGCTTCGACCAGGAAATCGCCACCCAATGAGGGAGGTCGAGCTGTCACTTATCTCGGGAACGGAGAGACGCAGCTCGATGCTGACGGCGCTCGAACCAACAAACGCTGACCAACACCTCGTTGCGAAGGCCCAACCTACCTAGGCGTCTAGCTCAGCCAACAGAAAACTCCCAACATCAACCTATGGACCCAGCCGTGTTGACCCATCAGTCACGGCATCTTTGTTCACCAACATACATCGTAGCGTCGTTTTATCTTTTCCTTCTTCAAGATCAAAGATGGAACTGATTACATTTTTAGTATGAGAAAGTGAATGCAAGATCAAATAAAAAATTATAATATGATAGCTTTGGATTAGAAGTTACTACCGAGGGTGAGAAGATAAATTAAAAATCAAGATAGAAATATATTAGAGATCAACAACTAGACGAGATAACTTATATAAGATTTAATATGATTCGATAACTCTCATTTGTATTCATGAAAAAAATTAAAATTTGTGTTATGTGAGATTAATTGCGAACATTGAGTTATCCCCAATGAAACATAGATTTTCTTATAGATTTTCTCACATAAATCCTAAGAATTTATATGATAGCTTTGAATTCGAAGTTACTATTAAGGGTGAGAAGAAAAGTTAAAATCAAAATAGAAATCTACTAGAGATCAACAAAGAGTCAACTTAACCGACATACGATTTAATATGATTTGATAACTCTCGTCTATATTCATGAAAAAAATTAAAATTTTTATTATGTGAGATTAATTACAAGATTAATTACGAGTTATCCCCAATGAAATACAAATTTTCTCATATATTTTTTCACATAAATCCTGGAGAATTTATATCATTTTCTCACACTCTCTAAATACCATAAAGACAAAATAAGAAGCAACAAAAGTATTTCTTAAGTCTTGCTTTTCTCTCATCAAAACCCAAATATGTATGAGATTAAAAGAATCAAATATTAATTATTAATATTTTTTTGTTGAGAATTTCTCCTTTTATTAGGATTTCTTATCACATTGGGGCATTGACTCTAGGAACCTTAAAATACTTATTAATCTCAATAATATCTTCTTTGATAGATATTTTATCCATTTTTGTACCTTCTAAATGGAAAATAATTTTGCTTCATTCTTCTTCCAATCTTCGTTGCTCATTATTGTTAAATCTCTGACCATCGAATCTTTTGGGCTCTGATACCATTTTTTAAAGAACGAGAGAAAATTTTTAAAAATAAAAAAATACCCAGAGATTAACCAACTAAAAAGTGTATCAGAAAATCGATATAAGATTTAATGTGATTTGACAAATCCAACCAAGAAAACTAAAATTTTGAGATCAATTACAAGACATTGAGTTATCCCCACTTAAACACTAACACTATTTTCTTGTACACATTTTGTATAAACCCTTTGGCCAAAATTACTCAATGTATATTTATAAAAACAAACCCTAATTGGTCAAACAGTTTTAGTTTAATTATGACTCTATCAACTAATTTAAATATAATTAAAATTTCTAAAAATATTTACCAACGTTAGAAGCCTATGCACTCTTCCTCTTCCTCCTATCCAAAACGCAAGAACATCAACAATGACTCATAAAAGCCCATCTTCTCTCAGCATCATCAAAAGAACTAAGAACACAAGTAACTTCTTCCAGATGACCAGTTCCGGGATCAGAGGTTAACTACTAAGCAAAACACGCAAAGTCTTGGCTCTTACTTCTTTGAGACAAAGAAAGATCCACTCTTCTTTGTCTCTGTCCAATGACACTTTGATGGACCAATTTAGTAGCGATATATCAGAAAATATATTCATATTTATCGCTTGGTCTCATTCAAAACATAAGAAAAAGACTGTGACAACCATGATTTAGTGATGCATCATTCACTTGAATTATTTGTGGTAATAACCCTATCACTCAAGGAAAATAAAAGTTGATGTAACGACAGTATGTGATGTTTTTTGTGCTTGAATTATTTTTATTTTCTCACTCAAGGAAAATAAAAGTTACACTAATGTTTAATGCTTTACAATTTTGTAATGCATTTGACCTCCTGAAGCAGCCTCAGGTCTTTTTCCCCCTATATATATGTAGGATCAACACACCTTGTTCGATTCCCACATCCATACATGCCTTTGAAATTGCATTTTGTTGTCTCTCCTCTCATCCACTTTACTGAGCGATATGGCGCCACTGACATATCTCCTACTCTTAGTTACCATGCTTGTGTCAAATAACTTTCCTTGTTTGGGCACCCATTTGGAAAACCCCACCATGGCTTCACTTGGTGGAGAGAGAGTCAACAACCCCACCATCATGAAAAGCCCCTCTGGTTCTACACAGAAGGTGGTAAATGTTCAATACTATGGCGCCAAGGGAGATGAAGATTCTGATTCCATGGTGTTGACTCCACCTTCGTCACCATCTCAAATCACTTTCGGTTCTTGTTGTGCACGATTAAAACTGTGAAGTTTTGTTATGAGCATTGCGCTTCTTGTGCTTTGCAGGCATTTGAGAAGGCGTGGAAGAAAGCTTGCTCATCTTCTACGCCAACCATTCTGTTAATACCCAAGAACAAGCGGTATCTCCTCAAGCCTATGAACTTTAGAGGCCCCTGCAAATCTCGAGTTTCATTCACTGTGAGTTCTAATGCATTATCCATCACAGTCGAAACCCTAACACGCAGTAGTGCAAGGAAGATAAAACGTTCTCGTTGTTTATCTGATCAGATCATGGGGACACTCGAAGCGTCGAGGAACCAAAAGGATTGGGATGGCAGGATTTCCAGGCACTGGATACTCTTCAGTAATATCGATAACCTCACCGTTCGAGGTGGCGGAACCATCAATGGCAATGGGAAGATATGGTGGAGAGGCTCCTGCAAGATGGATGCATCTATGGTGAGCATGCAGATCTCAGACTCCAACCATATATTTCCACTAATCTTCTTCCCTGAAACGCTGATCTTTTTTTGTATTTTCATGTCAGCCATGCATCAGTGCGCCGACGGTACGTGCGATTTCTTTCTTTCTTTCTTCTTTCATCTTCTCCTTTTTTGGTAGGAAATGAATAGAGAGATGCTCATGCATGAACCCTATATTAAGTCTGACGAATTCTGTACTTGAGGAAGGCCCTGAGCTTCAACTCTTGCAAGAATTTGAGGGTGGAGAATCTGAAGGTGATGGATAGCCCACGGATGCACATATCTTTGGAGAAATGTACTGGTGTAGATGCATCTCATCTGACCATCACTGCTCCGCATGAGAGTCCGAACACTGATGGGATTCATATCACTCATTCGAAGAACGTAAAGATCGCCAACAGTTTCATCGGGACCGGTAAGTTCTACGTCCGGTTTGAATCTTTGTGCGCAATCTACATAGACTCTTGTTAGATTCACTGCGTTGTTTATGATGCAATCGATGAGATCATATGTAATCACGAGGTGACGAAGAGTCTAGATTTCAAGAGAATATTCTGATGTCTTTGGAGGTCCACCCCAAAGAAAAGAAAATCTATCTTATGGGCCACTCCCAAGTAGATAACGGATCCAAGCTATTGACCGAGTGATAGATCTGGTCAAATGATAATACATTTAGTTTTCCATTGGTCAGAGTCAAAAAGTCAACGCATTAAAAAAGTCAATGTTCATAAAAAAAACAAAGAAATCAGGCTGAAAACATCCGAAAGCAAACAAATGATGAATATGTTGGAATAAATCAATATGGTTTACATTAAGATTTATTTCTTTTTCTTGTACTTATTATATTTTTCAACAGTGTATTTTTATAATTATTTCTTTTTTTAATTTTATTTGATAAAGGTGATGATTGCATATCGATTGTTAGTGGATCGAAAAATGTGATGGCAACAAACATTGTTTGTGGACCAGGACATGGAATCAGGTGTGCAACTCTTTTAGAACTACAACAATTCATTAACCTTCTTCATCTAAATCTCTCTCTCTCTCTCTCTCTCTCTCTCTTTCTTTCTCTCTCACTGTTTGTTTTGGTGTCCCAAAAAAAATAGCATCGGAAGCTTAGGAGCTCACAACTCAGAAGCACAAGTCTCTAATGTGACTGTCGACACGGCACGATTTATTGGAACAGCAAATGGAGTCCGGATCAAGACATGGCAGGTATGACTAACTAGTCTTTACTGATTATTTAGTCTCATATTGATTAAGATATAGTAAAACCCTAATGGATCTAAAGCTAATGCTTTGGATTCAAGCATCCTTTTGATCGACATGAGTTAATATATCATATTTATCTGGGATGATATAGTATCATCATTCACATTTGATTATGATACGTTGATTAATTAGAATAAGAAGTCGGAGATGATTGTGATAGATGCAATTAGATGGATCTGTTATTAATAATTTAATTTTAAGTTCTTAATATTGGATTAATAGGCATATTTGGTCAGACCACGCGAGATATTAAGTAAAATGAAAAAGAAATATTGATGTGTTTACCAATATCTTACACTTAGATAGATGATAAAATACTTATATTCTCCGTTAGTTGACTATCATTTGTGTGTTAGTTGAGTCTCTAAGTAACATAAACATAGTTTAATATCTTAAGTATTATATATTAGATACTTGTGAACTCAAACTAGCTAATATTAATCATAAAGGATTTTAATATTTATTTTTATTTTTATTTTTATTTTTGTTCCCTTGGGTAGGATTTATATTATTGTTCATTCTTATATCTGTAGTATAAGCATATTATTTGCTTCTAAGAGTAGGGATGAAGAGGATATGCAAAGAATATTTATTTGATGTCCATCAAATTGCTCTTTTTTTTGTGTCTTCCTGAGTAGGGGGGAAAAGGATATGCAAAGGGCTTAACATTTAAGAACATCGTTATGCACAATGTTCTGAATCCTATCATCATCGATCAGAACTACTGTGACTCACAAAACCCATGTCAAAGACAGGTAGAACCTTTTGCATCTCTCCTTCCCTGCATCTGCATCCATCTGAATGTTTAAGTTAATCACCATGTAGGTTTCAGCTGTCCAAGTGATGGATGTGTTGTACCAAAACATCAAGGGAACGAGTGCTTCAGAAGTGGCCATAAATCTGCAGTGCAGCAATGACAGACCCTGTCGTCATGTACTGCTGCAAGATGTCAACTTAGTCGGAGTCGGTGGAGATTCCGCAAAGAGCCTCTGTTCGAATGTGCAGTGGATCAAAAGGGGAACTGTCATCCCCCCTCCTCGTATTCACGATTAAACCAGGGAAAGATTGATGACTAATATAGATAGTAGAGAGAGAGAGAGAGAGAGTTGAAGAGAGCATCAGAAAATATCTATCAAAAGGAAATGAATGCGATATGTAGTTCTTGATCAGTGTGCAATCGGTTTTCTGATATGTCGCCTTCGATAAATCTTTCCATGGTTGGTTGGATAGCCAAAGATTTCAACTGCACAACAATCTGAAAATAACGTACAGTAGCCTCATATTTAACAAAGATTATTTCCTTCTAATATTGAAGAAGCATAAAGAAGTTGATAGTTGTTGCTTCATATATACTGATATATGGACAAAATAATAATTCAACAGAAAGTTAATAGATTCCAGCTTGATGAGTAAAGTTATTTGGTGGTTGACTACCTCAACCTTAAAAAGAAGAATACATTATTTAGCCCAACAAACTCAATACTAAGAAGCCATGTAAACTTATCAATTGAGTCAATCACAAAGAAGACTTTTTTTCAGATGAAAAATGCATTAAAATATTGAATTATGAAGATATGTGTCATCTTCAAGCAGTGCTCTAAATATATTATTAGCCAATTTACCATGAGTTTTCTTTTAATGTCATTCATGGTCCATTTTCTTGTATCATTACAATAAGAAAAATAAATGCAGGCGTCTGTCTTCGGAGTCGACGACACCCGATGTGATTAGGTTATATCAGTTGCACTGCAATGCTTTCAGGTACGATTTATGATTTCGAATGAAGACATGACAAATAAACTTGCAGCAGCTGATCAGCTTTGTTCCATACGGGCATTGAATCTCACTGATTGGCAAAAAAAAGACTGAGCAATAGCAAATTCCAGAAGGCATTTTTGCATGAATTCCAGATATTTTTAGATGCTTTTATGTTTTGGATCCTGCACAAGATGGAGAAATGGAAACATCAGTTCCTTTAAAATTTAATAAAACAACCATGATGCTGCGATGCCATAATAAATGATGAAATATTTACAAGTACAAAGATTTACTTACTATCAAGATATGAATACAACAACAACAACATCAACAATAATAAAAAATCATAAATCCTAACAAAATAAAATTCTAAATTAGTGCGCAACTCAGAAATAATAAGAACTTTTTATTTAAGTTATATTAGAGTTATTCTAAGGTAAAAATGGATTAATTCTTTAAGAGTATGTTTTTAGATCTCGATACCAAAACCCCTAGTAGTTACTAGCTGGACCAGAACAAGACCTGTATACATAAACCAGCACATGGAATGCTGACATATTGAATGGTAAGAAGAAGCGGAGAGAAGGAAAAGGAGGAGGAGATGCAGGAGAAGAAGAGGAGCAGGAAAGGAGAAGCAGAGTAGGAGGAAGAGCAGGAGGAGAGTAGTAAGAGGAAGAGAGTTTGAAATATGACAGAGGCCGTGATAAAGTTGACGAAATCTACTCTTTCTTCATGGATCTTACCACAAAAATAGAGGGAAAGCAGCCTTTAAACTGGATCAGACAAATTTTGATCTCCAATTTGCACTTGAACTCTCAATAGAATAGAAACTCCAATGTAAATTATAACAAACGTGGTCCTAGATGATCATGGGCACATGCCTTATATGCCAAAGCATGCTGGAATATATTACATGATACCAACCAAGTCCATGGTGCTGTGCTAAGGATGTGCATATCTAACATCAGGATGGAACAGAGCTCAGTGTTGGCTGGCAGAGAGCTTGCACCAACCTCTGCCAGTCAGCACAAACTGTATCAATAAATAACAAGAATAAGAAAATGCTGCAAAACTGAAGGCCAGAAAGCACTCACTTCACAAGGATGAAGAAGATGTACGTTCTGCCAGACGCATCAACCAACCTTTAAAGTAGGGCACAGCTTCCATTTCCGTGTGGGAGAGGGCACCTAAAGGGGTGATTGTAATCTGGGGAAAGAAAAAGATGACTGCATTATTAGTATGTAGTTTTTCAATAGAGAATTTTTTCTAGAGAGTAAAAAAGTAAAGAAAGCAGGAAACAGCTAACATATCCTTCTTCGAGGGCCCTGTGGTCTGTATCTTCTTCCTCCTCTTCTACATCATTCTTCCTGATAACCTATTGATATGGGAAATAATTTCAAATAACAGACATTTTCATTCCAATTTCTTAATTGCAAGGTGGCATTTTCAGGCTCATTGGCTTTGTTCATAAAATTTAAATGAGTTCAACTGTTCAAGAACATGTAAGTATACACAGATCTACACAATTACATATAGGTAATAGAAGACAAACACATTCAACTGGAACAAACTCAGGAAGTCTTTGAATAAATCATGCCAATGCAATGAACAATATCACACATCCAACTAGCAGCAGGATCTACTTATGCAGATGTTAAAGTTCATGTTCTGTGGTAATCTGAAAAGGGTCAGGAAAAGTATAAAAAGCACATTGGACAACATATCAAAAGATGTTAATATGTCATCAATTCTCATAATTTCACCACATAATTAAGTCAAGCAGACTCATTGGGAACACCTGCAGGGAGTCATGTATGGAGAGAAAATACTGTTTTACAATGGGCAACATTCTGATTATGTGTATCAAAAGACTGCTAATAATGAACTTAATCATAGCCTAACTCTTGCGTGAGGTAAAGCAACCACCTCCCACAAGGTTCTGCATATAACCTACTTGGTCTAGAAGAAAAAAACAAATGATTTTAAAAGCGCTAAGCGCAAAAAGGTGCTAAGGTCCAAAAACACTCTAGGCACCTGCCCGAGCGAAGTAAGACGCTCCTGAATATTATAATTAAAATAACATACAGCTAAATAGAAATGTGCTAAACATGTTTATGAAGGCTTATGTTAGAATTAAACTGCTCCAAAAGCATCTTGTTAACCAAGAATGTTTTGCTGCTCTAAGACATCATCAAGTAAAAGCTAAGGGAGTTTCACGTATAAATCAAAGTGCATATTGCCCATGGTGTTGTAGATACAACAAATATATTTAAACAGTTCCCAACGGGTTGTTGCTCATCCATTTGCAGTTTAATTAACAGGAAAGTGGGGGAAGTAGAGGGCGCGAACAAAACTGCAGCTGCGAATGAGATTGGACAAAGCTGCATCAGCAAACAAAGGCAGCAAACGATGTTGTCGACGATGGCGGACAGAGCTGCAACGTCAGAGGAGTGTGCAAAGGCAGCGAACGAAGGCAATGGAAGAGGTTGCTGTTGGCTGCGGACAGAGCTACTACAGCAGTAGATAGAGCTATAGCGGTGGAAGAGGTTTAGGGTATAGATGAGCTGCAGTGGCAGACGAGCTACAATGACGGATGAGTTGCAGTGACGGCAGCTGAGCTGCAGCAGTGAACGAGATTGGATGAGGTTGCCGACGGCGGTTGACAGAGAGAACAAGGTGACAGATGTAGGGTTTCATTTCACCTTTGTTTTCTTTTATTGGGTCAGGAGAGGGAGGGGGTTGGACAGTGTTAGGGTAACTGTGTTAGTTGGTTGAACCAACTTATAAGTCCAATCAAACCAAAGTTTGAACTCGACCAAATTTGGTTTGGGTGCTTGGTCGAGGCACCGAACGCTTAGGCTTAGGCGAGTGCCCGAGTTGTGCTTCTTTGAAGCGTTGTGCTTGGGGGTTTTGTGAGCGGCCTCGCCTCACCTTGCCCGAGCACCTTTTGAAACCACTTTAAAAAATAATGATTGGACTAATCATAATCCACTGGGCCAAGTTCTTCCTCACTTCTTAGGCTCAAAGAGATATCAATGTGTCTCATTAAAATCTTTATAAAATCTTAAGTTGACTACTGGATTTACATGTCCTGCTTAAATGTTAAGAATATTTAGAAGTTTAAAATAGCTTGTATAGATATTTTGAGTGTCATTCTGCTAGCTGCTAACAAAAACAAGCATCTTAGACTGACCAGGTAAAATCTTTACATCAAAACCGGTTGTAAAATGGATCAGCATGTTTGGCTTGGATACGAAAGCTTTAAGGGAATGGAACCTGAACTCAACCTTAGAACCCATACCATGGACTGTAATTAGGAATCAGCAGTTACAACTTAAACCCAGAACCATATGTCCCTAGGCTGAGTTCCAGCTATTTTGTTCCTGAGCTTCGCATGTAGAACATTCTTTTGTTGTAGCAATGGCTGAATAAAGGTTTCACATATATGACCGTTTAGACCCTGAGCATATCACCGCAACAATCACCAATGGTATCTGGTATTCACCATAGTAATTAAATATTTCACAATCTTAAAATGAATTATTTACAATCTCTTGCTAGTTCAAATAGAATCCCAATCAACCACACTAACTCTAAAATAACTACCTCCAAGATTAAGTCAAGACACCAAAATGATACTAGAAAGGTATAAGATCACTTAAGTCTACCTTGGAGCAACAAGTTTGATAGATGTCCATTATGACCATTATGTTAATTTGATTTCTGAGGCCTGAGATGCATCATTTATTTGCATGATATTTAAAGCCATGTTATTTCCTATCCACTAACTAAGTCTTTAAGGTGTTATGGCAAGTTTCAGTTTAGCATAAATATATCTTAGCTAGAAACTGCACACCTAAAAATTCAATTTGGCATTTTGAAGACATTTTGATTAGAAATCTACTTAAATCTAAAGTTGTCAAAATGCTTAGGTAGTCGTAACTCATAAGAATTAGCCATTGAAAGTTTTCTTTAGAAGATCTAACAGATGTGGATCTTAGGACAAAATACCAAAAAGATAGTATAAAGTCTTATAAAAATTGTGTAAAATAATTTTAAAACTCATAAATTCTAAAACAAATAATATAAAATATTTAAATTTCCTGGATTAGTTTTTCAATAAAGATAGGTAAGGTGGAGCTCTTAAACTTTAGCATTTATATATTCACTTTTATGTCTCTTTTACAAGTGCTTTAATAAAGGATTATGTTTAAAATAGACCCAAGATAGGCACAAAGAAATATAAAAGCATATTATAACAATCAAGATGCAGTAGCATGTACCAACAAACATAG